CCAAGCCAACTAGAGGGCCTGCTGACTCATTCTCTTCTTCGCGGGGTATGTCACGTGGTGCTAGAACCGTTTGTGGAACCCAATGCCTGAGGCTTCAGGGTCTAAGGAGAACTGTGGAATGCTCTAGCCCTGGGGGAGCCCATGACCGTCAGATTGAGGTCTCTTTCCACCCACTTCCCCCCCTTCCCCCAACAGAATGAACATGTACAACTCGGATTCATTCTCTCGGGGCTTACAGGCATCTTCCGGAACATGGGCCAGGCCAGGCGTCCACAGGTACTAAGGTCGGGCCACAACAAATCACATCTTGGCCCTTGGTTGCGCGCAGAGCAACAGAGCAATACGCCGGTTTTTCCGAGTGGCGCACAAACTTACAATTTCTAAGAGTCATGATTCTATACACAGATTACATGTAAACAAATTCCGGCTGTGGGATCGCCGCAAAGATCATCAAAGCGTCGCGTGGCGCTCTAGATTTGATGTTGTCGATTGCAGCAATTCGATTTGCCATGTGCAGGAATGTACCAGACTCCGGGCTCGGGGGACGTGCGATACCCTGTTGTGGTTGTTTCCGGACAACCATAAATCCCCCTCCCCTCCCTTGGGCGCCCAAGGGCGATGTGACTTGATCAAACCTTCTTTCTGGTCTTTTACCCCAGTGGGCAATGGCGGATGAGGATCCGTATTCATGGTGAAATGTAACAGTGAGAGGGCTAGGTGCCCTGCAAGGGATTCCGATTAGGCCGTGTAGTTATGTGTTGCGTGGTTCACAGATACGTAATTGACAGCCTTCGATACAGTTTTCTGGAACGTTATGCCGGTAGACCGCCGAGTAATTTCTTTTTGTAGGATATGATAGTCGGGCCGGCATATAGGAGAGAAAAGAACAAGAGAAAATAAAACTCCCAATTGGTCAGCCGATCACAAGGTAAGCGTACTACTAGAGTCAGAACAAGAGTTGTGGCCCTCCAGCCTTGATGACAATCAACGCCAAGCCCGTAATATGGACCATGGCAATTCTTGGTGCCCTTTAGCTGCAGTACCTGTCCTGGATGTGATTGACGAATGACTTGGTCTCTTGTGGTGACCTGACGTCACAAACGGCGAAGGCAAGTAATGGGCGACTTGGCAATATCTTGTTTTCACTAAAACTCGAGTTTGCTGGCTTGATGGAAGCAACCCGTGGACGCATTTTTCCCTGGGCGGTTTTTTTCGGCCCCCATTTGTCATTTTCATAGACATTGCAAACGCAGAACGTCCATCTTAAATGGGGTTCCATGCGGTCGGGCACGGTCGGCAGTAATCCGGGCTCCTTACCTCGCGGGGCACATGAGAGTTTGATATCCCTATCTTCTGTAGTGTTTGTTGTATAGATTTGATGCTGCATGTTAAAGGCGTTGAACAGACTCGAAGCGGACATTCTCCCGGCCCAGAGCGGCAACGGGGAAGTTGGCTGGAGATGGCCGTAGTTCTCTCCAATGTGGGTCCGACTACCCCAAATGCAAACTTCCTATTCCGGCTAGTTGGCCCTGAAAGTGCCAGAAAGAATCAACTGTTCTCACCTGCCAAAATCTTTGATAGTTTAGGCGATGGGTAAAAAAATGCTGCAGTTCATTCAAAGAGGTAAAAAAGGGCAAAAATCTCCGGAGAGTGATAGTCTGGAGAGATGAAGAAGTGGGGTTCCATGGGGGGACATCGGCATCCCGCCTGGAGTGTTTATTAGTGTATAGTAAGTACCAAGTAATCAGGTACATGTAACTTATTGAAAGAATTAGTGTCCAAGTCAATCCCTAAAATGTGGGAAGTGACATAATGGAAAATCTGTACTAGGACTGTACTGGAAATGTACTGACAGGGTGAACCCTGGAAAGATTGGCTCTTTCCTGCATTTGGCTCTTGCCCTTTTCTCTCCGTTTCTGTATTTAACTCCTCTTTTTTCCTCTTTCTTGTTCATTCCTTTGTTCTCTTTCTCTCTTTCTCACTGTTGATCTTCTCCAGACTTATTGTGTCCTCATTTCCTGGAGTTTCTTCTACTGCTACTGGTCTTGATACCAGTTTTCCTTATACTACCACTTCTACGTCACAGGGTAGAATCAACAATGGCATTCAATTTCGAAAAACCCGCAAGGGATACCGTGCAGGCAGCAGAAGCTGCCCACGCCCAAGCCGTTGTCAATGCCGCTACTGAAAAGTTAGAGGAGGAGGATCAGCTCGAGGAGGCCTCGCCTACACCCGACGGAGTAGTCGAGCTCACTGAGGACATGTGCTACGATCGACTGGGATACTCATTCAGCGAAAAGAAAAAGTGGACCATTATCGCCGTGATTTTCCTCGTGCAGACATCGATGAACTTCAATACATCGCTTTATTCGAACGCCACCACAGGAATTTCAGAGGAGTTTGGTGTCTCCATGCAGGCTGCGCGCTGCGGTGCCATGATCTTCTTGGTTCTTTATGCCTTCGGTTGTGAACTCTGGGCTCCGTGGAGTGAGGAGCTGGGTCGCAAACCCATTCTCCAGGCATCTCTATTCCTTGTCAATGTTTTCCAGCTACCTGTGGCTCTGGCCCCCAACTTTGCCTCCATCATGGTTGGTCGTGCCCTTGGTGGTCTCTCGTCCGCCGGTGGCTCTGTTACCCTGGGAATGATTGCTGATCTGTGGGAACCGGATGCGCAACAATACGCCGTAGCTGCTGTCGTTTTCTCATCTGTTGGTGGATCTGTGCTTGGTCCAGTCGTTGGTGGCTTCGTCGAAGCATTCCTGCCGTGGCGGTGGAACATCTGGATTCAGTTGATCTTTGGTGGTTTCGTGCAGGTTGCTCATTACCTGTTCGTCCCTGAAACTAGAACTACCGTTATGATGGATCGTATCGCCAAAAAAATGCGCAAGTCTGGCGAAAACCCCAACATTTACGGTCCCACAGAGGGCATATCGTTCCGGCAGCGCTTCCCGCCTCATGAGCTTATGGCTACCTGGATTCGCCCCTTCAAGATGTTCCTGACTGAGCCCATTGTGTTGGTTCTTTCTCTGCTGAGTGGTTTCAGCGACGCCCTTATTTTCATGTTCATCCAGTCGCTTTCTCTTGTTTACGGTCAGTGGGGCTTCAACACCTGGCAGAAGGGTCTGGCCTTCATCCCAATTGTGGTTGGCTACTTCATCGCTTGGTTCTCCTTCTTCCCGATTATCAAACGCAATATTAAAGAGCGCCACAACAATCCAGAGAGCGAACGGGCTCAGTATGAATCTCGCTTGTGGTGGCTGCTGTATACTGCCCCCTGCCTACCAATAGGTCTGATCGGATTCGCCTGGACCAGTTTACCTCAGTGTCACTGGATTGGATCTATGATCTTTGCCGCCATCATCGGTATTGCAAATTATGCCATTTACATGGCCACGATTGATTACATGATCTGCGCCTATGGACCATACTCTGCATCTGCGACAGGTGGAAATGGCTGGTCGCGAGACTTCCTTGCTGGTGTGCTCACTATTCCGGCCACGCCTTTCTTCACAAGTAAATTGTTCCATGCAAAAAATTACCCGCATTCTCATACTGACGATTTTTGACAGATATCGGTGGTGAGCACCATCTTGAATATGCCTCAACCATTCTCTGTCTGTCTAGCCTACCCTATCTTTCTACATGAGCCATCGGTCTAACATTCTTCTAGTCTGTATTTCCGTCCCGCTTGTCGTTGCGGTATATATCATTTACTGGAAGGGCCCCACATTGCGCAAGCGTTCTCCATTCGCCCAGCAGCTGGAGGATGCCCGACACCACATACAAGTCCAGAGCCGTCGAGGATCCAAGATCCCTCCGGCATCTCGCGCCAGTTCGTATGCGCGCTCCCAGCAAGACCTCCGCATCCGCCCAACGCTAGGCAGCCGAGGCAACTCCCGGGTCAATTCTCAAGTGAACTCTCGTGTCAACTCTCGCGCCAACTCTCGCGCCAATTCGCGCCGCAACAGCATCAACCTCAATCCTTGATCGCTGTTTTTTTTGTCTAATTTTTGCTATGAATTCTCATGTTCGGTGGGAGTAGTGAGGGGACTGAAATCACTGTTATAGGACTCTATGAGCTTTTTACATTTCTTCTCCGTGCATGTTTTCATCGGCGTCAATCCTACGCTGTGCGTGGCTGGCTCATAATTCTTGCACCCGACACCCGATGGATATTACACTCCTAATCTAGGGGTTTTTGGCCTTGTGCTCTTGAGTATAAGGCTAATCGAACTGGACGAGGAACAAGCGCGGGTTTCTAAAATAATTGTCTTTTGTTTTCTGTGCTTGCTTTGACGCAAAAGACAAGAAATGCGATCTGGGGGTTTTGTCATGTATGCTATGGGTTTTCGCGACTGAGCGATACCAGTCATGAATTATACCATTCCTATTGGCCGAAAACAAATTGCTTTGTGTTTGTTTATTAGTACGTGAATAGACAATGTAGTAAGATGTCTGTCAACTTCCAGGAAGATTAATGGATTAGACTTCGCCAAAAATCGCAAAACCGCCCCGACCGAAACCGCCATTGGGGCGGATATTGGGGCGAGGTCTAGGAACCGCAATGGTTTATAGGGCCCCAAATAGTTAATTAATTACAGAGCTTGTAATTTTGGTAAATTCTATACACATACACATCGAGAGCTTGTGGCTGGTTTCTCGGAACATTCGGGGCCAGACAACTCGGGACTGATCGGGACTAGTGCTAAATGTTAAATTTAGGTTAAAATTACCGTATTATTTTTCAAGCTTCCTTAATTACGTGCGTGCAGATTTCTTCCCAATGAGATGTTCCCATATCTAGAATTTTGTTTGGATTTGTTTCCCTGGCTTCTTTTGGCGATCTATCGACACCGGTGGTTTACTGACCCTGGTAAGTTGAGATGCTTCTACATCTACCGATCTGTTTCCCTCGACTCTCGATTTTTCACCTGAGCTCGGACCTAAATCCTTCCCGAATGGACTTATGTTTGATATCCCATCTGGGTTTACGCCAGGAGAACATCTGGATGTTTTAAACTCATCTATAGAGCCTACTGCCTCGCCCTCGGCGAGTTTATCACCGAGCGAATCATTCAAGTATTCATCTTACCGAGTATCGAAGATAAGGCTCAACACGCCCCCCCCCCCCCCCCCCCCGCGGTACCGCCAATAGTGTATTGATCGTACCCATGAATTGGAAGCAAAACAGCTGTCAAGAGTGGGATGAGTTGAAAGTTTGCATCTCCAAATTTGAGGAAGAGATTGTTGTGCTGAAAGATTAACCGGAGTTGCAAATTTCGATGTGATCACATTCCAGCGAAGATGAGTTGTCGCTTCTCTTGGCTTTGTGTCTGTTTCAGCCTCACAAATATATCGAAAAAGATGCTTAGTATTTGTACAGAAATTCCATTCGTTCTTTGGAAATCCACGATATAGGTGATGCTTGGATCATAGTCTGCGGCTGATAGTCTCCTCATGTACTAGATCGAGGTTTTTCTTTGCTATAAGAAATCCTCCTAGCTCGCCACTTTATAACCAGACTTTTCAAGCAGTCCATGGCTATCCTACAAGCTCTTGCCATCGAAATAGCTTGGCTTCTCAACGAACAAGTGATTCTCCAAGATCTCCTAGCCCCTCGAACCAGGGATTAAACTAACGGAAGTATTTTCCAGTGACCGACTCAAACGTGGTAAGGATACATCCATGGGTGTAGCTGTTGTCGACTTTATAGATAGATTTGGTAATTTCTTGACTATGTGGGACAAATTGAAGTACAGAGCATTGGAATTTAAGTCTAGAGGTCGCTTGGTCTCTCCGGGGCTCTTTCCACTAATGAAGCCTGCAAGAGCTTCGACTTGCCACAAAGTCGGAGTTCAGGATTTCTTGTTTTCTAAGCGCTAGTATTGTATAAGTGATGTCGTGATACTATTCTAAGAATAGTTGAACTGGTTCACTACTGTACTAATTTACGGGATCTCAATTTCAAGCTGTCCCATTAGTCAACGGTTGCTCCTCTTGTTGGCCATCCGTTGGATTTACTCAGCTTGGGACCCAAATCCCGAAAGCACATACCTCAGGTCACATTTGATTTTCGGTATGTCGGCTCTTCTTTCAAATGGTTCATTGCTACTTGATAGACTTCTGCGATTTTAATTCAATGGGCCACCAGTCTCAGTTATCGTCATGCATCCTGTGCAATTCCGCTGCTATCTTCCAAAATGCGTGTAAAGTTTCCAAATCTCCCATCAGGGGTGTCTACAGTGTTCAGGTACGCACTTTCCCGCTCCATTGAGAAAACTACTTAGCCCAGCTAGCCCTCCATAGGTAGCAACTGGTAACGACGCGCTGGAGGGGTCTCAAGGAACCCAAGGAAAAGCATTCCTTGATGAGTCACTACATGAGAAGGTCCAGTTCTTCGTGTACAGCGCTGCTGATCGAGGAGGAGATGCCTCTTATACAACCCCGACTAAGGTCCCGTCATTTACCTATCAGCACAAAACTGAGCACTACCTCGTCGAGCGAGGCAAGAACACCGAAAGGCTAGTGGACAATTCGTCAGCCGGCTGCGTTTTATTGAGAGCCTCGTTCCGGGATTCTTCGGCGCGGTTTTTGGAACTCGCTTCAAGATGTTGTTGAAGGGGAAGCCTTTACAGATGGTAGCGACGAAAGACATTGGATTCTTCGAGGACCAAGCTTTCCTGCACTCAGAGCCATATCAAAACAAAGTTGTTTCCTTGGCAAGAGATGAGTTGACATTTAACCCACATGGCGTTGATTCCGACAACTTTCGAATTCCTCCGCTCAATCTTCATGGTATCGATGAAGGATATGGTTCATATGTTCAAGTGATTCTATGATGCGGGCTACAGGGCTGATATCCCCGAGCAGTAGAGAATCAATCCAGGTCTCAAAGACTTTGGGACGTGCTTGGAACGTGACAGCGAATTCAGGCATCAAGTTTCATCATCAGCATGACGCTTCTGTGTGTTTCTTTGTCTAAATATGTAAAATACCAGACGAACTAATTCCAGTTATTCGGCTGTTATGCAACTAGTGACTCGCGCGGTACGGAGTACCTCTCATTGGTTTAACGCAATACGGCCTGGGGCTCAGGAACTATACAATAGATCTGGAATGATGGTCAACTTTGGCAGGTCTATGGCAAATCCTCCAGGAAACAAACAGACAGATGTATATCCATGTCAGATATATGTAGGTATGGATATCAAGAATAGCATTGTGGTCTCGGCCAAATAATCCGATCCCCTTGGCCCGTGCGCCCTCAACATTTGGACTCTCTTTCCACCCCCCCTCCGAATTTGTACAAAGTACCTTTCAAGATGAATTGTCTTACTTCCATGCGTCTCTGTGTGAGGAACATCTCAAATATCCGGCCTCTCACCAGAATCTCCAGCCTGTATGCACCCGCATTTCCCCTCTCGCGACCTTTCCCGAGAATGGCATCCAGCGCGTTTCAGTTCGCCGAGGGCGAGGATGCGCAGCAACTTGCCCGAGACGCCGATGCTTTATTGCAGCAGGGCTGGGCACAGGATGGAGATGGGATGGGGGTAACGAAGACGTTCCATTTTAAGAGCTATTTCAAGGCTGTGGTAGGTGAATTTTTTTCTTTTTTTTTTTTCATCGTCTGGTCTGGTTTTTTAGGACTGCTTCTGCTTCTGCAGGAACCAACTGACATCCTATAGGCGTTTGTTAATATGATTGCAGCCGAGAGTGCATCCAAAAAACATCATCCCACTATGACAGTGGTAAGTGGGACGTTTTAAATCGTCGGTGCCTGGGTAAAAAAAGAAATTAAGGCTGACGCCCCCCATCAGCGGATTGGCTCGGTCGATGTGCACTGGACAACCCATCGCCCACGCGGATTCACACAAAAGGATGTTGCAATGGCACAGCATTGTGATCAGGGCGCTAATCTGATAGGTGCTGTTGATCCTGGTCAGGGACTGAAATGTGGTCCGGCTATCTAGATGATCTCAAAAGCTCAGATTTGCACCAATTGTTCTTTGACTCCCCGGTCTGGCCGCACACTATCGCCAGTAGATCCCCCCCACTGCCGCTTGGAACTAGTCTGAATGCGAATTTCCCCTTGAAATCCTGCTAAAGAGGTGTTTTTTTTTCTCTGGATGTCTTCTTCTCTCTCGAAAGGGTCGTTCCTCGATTATAATTACAATTTGGATTCCAATTTCTCTTCATTGCTTTTTTTTTCTTCTAATATTCAACAGCTATTCCTCGTCGGATATGCCATGACGTTGAACCACTCCATACCCACGTTCCCTTTCGATGATCATTGCCTTAATTAAACCTTGTCGCTCCTTTTTTCTCTAAATACGCTCAACTTCCTGAAATTCTGCAATCTGGAAATATCTGGAGCTGTGTGAAACTGTGTGAAACTGTGTGGAACTGTCGTGGGCACGCCCGTCAACAATGAATCCGGATCAGTCACCAATTGGCGAACGCAGAGGTCGTCTACTTGCACCCCTACAGACCAATTTCAGCCGACCAGCTGCTCAAAAACGGTCCCAACGCCCTCGGCCAACTGAATATCCCAGCATCAATGGATCAGAGGGTCCCATTCCGCTCCAGGGCCCGGTTAAAAGGCAATCCTCCAAGACCAGTCTGCGCAGTCTCTTTGGTCACAAGCCTTTGCGCGCAGATTCCAAATTAGAGGAGATTGTAGAGGCACAGCCAGAACCTCAAACTGCCATTCTCTTGGAAACTACCCTGTCGCCCTCTATTTTAAGCCCTCAAATTATAGACTCCAATCTCACCAATACCTCCCCAACAGAACGATCACGCACAACATCAAGATCCTCCCGTTTGAAAACGGCCCCCAAACATACGAACCAGGAACAGTATGGCTGGAAGTCTCCCCCACTGTTCCAGGCCTATCCCCAATCTATCAAGCATGCCTGCCTCCCGGCACCTGCTCTCACTGCGGATTCCATCTTGCGTCTGCACGTCACCAGTGCAAGGAGTTCTACCGACGATAATCCTGCCAATCTCTTAGAGCAGAGCGAGGCCGCTGATGCTGCTCGTAAAAAGCGAGAACAAAAGCAACGGAAGCACCTCCGGACGGTATCTGGTACTATCAACAAGGTGGAGTGGACTCAGAAAATATATGTCCTATCAACTACTGGATGCATCCTCCAATATGCAGGCGAAGGGAAACACGACCGTCTTCCAGAGAGAATGCTGCTGCTAGGGCCCAAGTCTGTCGCATTTGCTAGTGATGCTATTCCTGGAAAACATTGGGTAGTCCAGGTCTCTCACAATCCGACAGCCGATGGTTCCGCCGTGCCGGAGCCCCCAAGGCCTCGATTCTCGCGCTTTGGCTTCCACAGGCCTAATGCCCGGCGGTTTTCGCACAATTTTCTTTTGGTGCTCGAAAACCCCGATGATATGATCGGCTGGTTGGTGGCCGTTAGGGCTGAGATCGAAAAACGGGGAGGACGCAAATTTACGCAAGAGAAGCAGTTGGATGAAGACACGATGCCTCAGCTACAATCCAAATCAAGCGTTCGACAAATGGTAAAGAAAGATCCCCATCGTATTTCCAGTCTTTTCCTTCAACCCCAGACTCTCCTATCGCCCACTGAGGAAGAAGATGGTCAATCTGTCGGTGCTACATCATGGCAATCTCGCCGCAGTTCATGTGTCTCGGTAAATCGTCGCTCGGTGATTGATTCTCGGTCCGGATCAGTGTCAACTGTAAGAACTGAGGCCACAAATGCTACCAACAGGTCTGCTTCTATCGGGTCTGACATGCGTTCTTCGTCATTCACTTCTTCCAATATACCCCACTCGCCACCAATAGGCACCGGTGCTTTCAGGCCCGGTGAGCCTGTGCCGGAAGAGCTTGACCGTATCTACACTCGCAGCCCGCCTGTTTCCAGTTTGCATACGCCTCTGCCACCTCAGCCTCCCCCCATTACCGAATTTATAGAGGAGCCACAAGTGGATCACTCATTGTCCGTTGCCGAAGCTCTCATTCGATGTACTTCACCTCCAGCACCTAATTTCAGTGTCCCCTCGTTCAGCAAGAAATTCGTTCCGAGATCTGGGACAACCCCGATCCCCCATGCCTCTCCTCCTTCATCAATTAACGGCTTCGCACGCCGCACCGAGACCGACCCAAATATGTCCACCTTAGCATCCCCTTCTCAAACTCCGACATTCAGCGTAGCTAGTTTGCGCCATGCGGACTCAACAGAAGCCAGGCGCAGACTACGACCGTCAAATTCAGAGGATGCCCTGACCAAAACCGTCCGTTCAACACAGAATATCCAACTTTTCTACCGGCCGCCCATAACGGCGCCTCCTACAGGTCCTCTGCCTGATCCCAGAGCATCTTCCCGTCCACTCAGCCTGATGGACGGCTCTAGCATGAGTCGGAAACCCATCAATATAACCCAGGTCCAACCTGCTCCTCCACCGAAAGACCCAATACCGCGCCAGAGAGTCTCCGCTGTGTATCCGGACAATCAAGCTGCTCAGAGCATGTTGCGCCGCAAGAGCATGCCAGGTCTGGGTTTAATCGGACCTCCATCTGCACCACCCCCCAACTGCCCACTCCCTAAGCTGCCCTCACCCGCCCCTTCTATCGCAAACACCAGTACACCTGCTTCTTCAACCGACACGACCGCATCACATATGCTATCCGCATGGTCTGTGACATCTCCAATGCAACGGTTCTACGGATCCGAGCCAGTGCGGGATCACCTCGAAGATCGGAAGAGCGGTGCTCATTCTGCAAGCAATGACCCAGCAAGGGATGCCCCACAAAATGCTCGACATTCAAAGCTGATCAAGAGTCCCCTGGTCTAAATCCACCCTCCTCTGCTATGGCCCAACATTAAATCTATGACATTTTACCATCATCTAACAAGATAACTCAAATAAGCTCTCACATTTTCAACGTTGACCGTTGCAACGATCTTCTTCTCACGACAATTGAGATGCATTCCGTGTATCCTCTTCCCTTTCTCGCATCTGTCATTACTGTCTCTGACATTTCGACCTCGGCTTTCATCAACGTCAAATACCCCTTTTGCACCTATTGCATCTCTGGGGGCCTCTCATTTCCATTCTCTTATCTGGGCACATTGGTGATACCAACGCTTGTATGCATGCGTCAGTTCCTTTGTTTGTCTATATAATGTATGAATTACTTCTCTTCATTTCGATTGTGTTTCTATTGGCATTTGTTCTTGGATATACCCTGTTTAATGCTATGTTCTTAATTTTTGATCAGAAGCAAATCTGTTCTCTCTTCTGAGCTCGGATTTTTTGTCTTCTGTTTTTTGCTGGGGATTCTATAAACCACGGAGGATGCATTTACATTGGGCATAGAGCATAGAGCCGAGCATTTACACTACCAGGTATTTTTTTGTCTACCATATCCTGTCACCAATAGTCGAATACAGAAAACCTCACATCGATTTGATGCTAAAAGCAACCCAAACAAAAGTTATGCAATGAAATAAAGACAGAAACCGAGGAGGGAAAAGACATTCCCAATGATTTCAATTCTTAGGAGCAAGGCCCAAAACGCCAGACTGAACATGGAATAGGGATCTTGAAAATACAAATCTCAAATGATTTAAAATAAGCACCCGCATGATACCGCGTTCGACCAATTCAGATCGATCAGCTTCGAATGTCTTTCAGAACGTAGCAGCACTACTCCTCCCCCTCTTCCACACTTGCGGTCAGACCGCGTCGCGCGGCGACTACGGACGGAGTAGAAGTAGGCTCGGCGGAGGCTGTGGTTGCCGAGGGGGCGTTTGCTGAGGGAGCAGCTGCGGTTACTTGGGCGGAAGCAGAGGTTGAGACCTTGGATTTTCCAGACTTTTTGCTCTTTTTTGTCTGTAGGATTAAATGGTCAGCTTTACTATTTCCAAGAGTATAAGAAGAAGGTGAGGAGTGTATACCTCTTGCCAGCCCCATAGAGGCTTGAAGCTGTCAAAGAACCCGACATCCTCGAACAGATTGGGGAATAGCCAGAGACCCGGGGGCACGGTGAAGACAGTAATGCAGAATAGAATCAAGCGGAAGATAGCCATGGCGAAGAAGAGACCCAACAGTCCCATCAAGCCAACACTCAGATACCACACTCCCTGACGCATAATCATAGGCCACAACGGGAACAGAACAACGGCGAAGATACCCACGACCACAGCGGCAGCCATGGCCTTTTGCTTCCACTGTGGGCCATCATACAACCAAACATAATGCATCATGGGGTCGGTCTCCTGGTGCTGTTCGATCTTCACGGTCCATAGACCCTTGGTGCGGTTCTTAGGCTTGGCATGGTTGTGTCCTTCATGGGGATCAACCTTGCTCACTCGGAGAGCCAAAAGGGAAAGCGGAAGAAGCTTAAAAACATTCTCGGCAGAGGCGCGGTCGGTCACTGGGGGGAGAAGGGAGTTTTTCTTGGAGGCGGCTTTGGCATAGGCGGGGGATTCAATGGCCCGGATTGCGCGCTTGACTGTATTTAAAAAAGTCCTGTTAGATTGTAATTCCTTGTAATGAATTTAGATACTAGTCGCTGCTCACCCTTGAACATGTCCTTGCGCTGTCCGTCCATGATACATGTGCGAGGCTTGAGATTTTGCGACCGTAACCAGTTGGCCACTGCCAATGCCTTTGGGTCCGGTGGATTGTTGGGATTCACAGGGACCTGTTGTGTGGTTGTGTGTTGGTGCTGCTGGGGTGCGGGCGACGGAGCTTGTTGTCCTTCTGGTGCTGCTTGACCCTGTTGTTCGGCCAGAATCCTCTGTTGCTGCTGATGAGCTTGCATTGCTCGCATGCGCAACTGCGCAACATACTGTTCAGTAGTTAGACCGAGCTTTGCAGCATCGGCAGTTAGTTGTTCACGTTGCATTGCGGCGAATTGCTGGGGCGTCAGCCCTCGTTTGGCGGCTTCGGCGGCAAACTGCTGTTGCATGGCCGCCATCTGCTCAGGGCTGGGCTGGCCAGGAGTGGCCATTTTGAAATTAAATTTGGGAATGAAAAGCAGAAGAGAAGAAGAAAGTCCAAGGCAGAGGAAGTTGTGAAAGAAAAGAAAGAGAAGTGGCCAGATTGACTCAGCTGATCTGTCCGCCCTCCCGACTTCCCCAGCCAAGCTTAACCTCCTTCCCCTTCTATATTCAACGTCAGAACATCGCGCTAAACATGAGCTTCAAAGCTATTTTCCTGTCGATACTCAATGTCTGTCCAATATGACTCCACGGAAACTCTGTTAAACGCTACATGGGTGGCTGTTCTGCTGGTATGTGTCTCAGTTCGCAATTAGTGCCCCCCCCCACACTCATATGAACATCTTGATCCAGAGCGAACGAGATGTGGCTGGTCAAATTCCACTTAACTATGTGACGAACCCGGCTGTGTCACTATCAGCTGCCTGCTTTGGAAACCGCATTTATGATCTAGAAGACGCTGCAAAATGTTTTTCTAACCTTCTCGCAATCGGGTACCGACGTTTCGCCGTTGATCTATATTGGTCGGTCAACCGTAGGACTTGGTCTTTCTGTCCGGTATCTGTTCCAGTTGTATCTGGAGTGACTGTGACCTCAGAGACATCCACAACCACGGCAACAGCTAGTTCGGACTCTGCGACTGTCACCGGTTATGCCGATTCCCATGGACACACTCTTTATGAACTAGGCTCATACAAGTGCACCGACGGCCTCGATCCCTACGCCTTGGCGGAAGTGCTTGTGGGTTATTTCCGAGATACAAACTCACGTTTGACGGTGTACACAACGTATCTCGTTCTCAATCTCCATGTCGCTGCAAGTGACTCCACGCCAGATGAGCTGGCTTCTGCCATATCAGGAGATCAACTGCCATCGGGAACTGAGCTAGCCGGCTCAATTCTTGGGATGGCTCTTGAGGACTTTATCTATAGCCCGGCTCAGCTTGCCTCGGACCGAAGCAATTTAAACCAGTCGTGGTATAAGGTCGAGCAGGGCTATTTGCCCATCACAGAGTACTTCACCGTCCATGAAAATAAAGCGGGTGAGCAGAGCACCCCAGATGGCTGGCCATCATCAAAGTATATTCAGCTCGCAAAACGTGACCGAGTGCTCATCGAATACGGCTCTATTGATTCCCAACTGGTGAAATGCAATCTGTCTACTGAAGAAAATTTGGTCTTTCCTCCTGGTTATCTGACTTCCAATGTGAAGATCTCCGCAGCCACCAACGGCAGTGTTACTTCAAACTGTCTGTATGAGTCTGGGCTCACACGCGTGCCCCAAACTTACTCATCATGGGCTATATCTAGCCCCCTCCCTGTCCCCGATGGTCTTTCCACAGATGAGACGATGGGCTCACTATCAAACTTTCTCTCTAGCATTACAGCTTGTGGTCTCTCGCCAATGCTCAACACCACCCTCTTCGATCAAACTGCAGACCAACAAGTTGAATATTACCGTAATGTCTCCCTCTCCTCTTCCTGGGCTTGGGCCGTTGGCCAGCCACACGATGCAAAATATGGCGGTGGCGACGGTGATCCCAAGTATGATCGCTGTGCGGTCATGGACCTAACGCTGAACGGCCGCTGGCGATCCACGAACTGCACTGAACAGCGGTATGGCGCCTGTCGAATCGGCAATTCGCCTTTCTCTTGGGTCCTGTCAGACACGGCCGAACATTTCTCCAACTTGTCGAACACCTGTCCTCCAGGATCGAGCTTCGCTGTACCCCGCACTGGTCTCGAAAACACGCATCTCTACAGACATATTCTCTCTCTGCCAGAGACAAAAATCGACCTGAGTTCCACAGATCCCGCCCTTCGAGAGGTCTTTGTAGACTTTAACTCAATAGATGTTACATCCTGCTGGGTATCCGGTGGCTATAAGGCCAGGTGTCCTTATGCCTCCGATCCGCAGCAACTCGAGCGCAAAACTGTGCTTGTAGCCGCGATTGCGGGTATCATCGTTCTTCTTATCACAGCCCTGACTTTCTTTGTCAAGTGCAACGCCAACCGCCGAAATTCCCGGCGCAGAAGGCGTGTCATCGAAGGATGGGAATATGAAGGTATTCCCTCCTGAGACACTTTATCTCGGTGATGGCTCCCTCCACCCCGAAGGTGCTGCCTCGGCCTTTTGGGTGTGATATCAAGACTGGATATCTTATATACTATGTACATTGCCTCTTTTTTCACTTCGCATCTATAATTGTGAGACCCCTGCCCTCTCCACCATCGGACCTATCTGAGCGCACTCCCCGCAACACCCCTGAGCTCGAGCCCAGTGGCAAGCTATCAGGATCGACAGCAGGGGGATGGTTTCTTCCAGAATACTATTTTTCGTTGATTATACTAGCTAATGAAACATGAACACCATTGCCGACTTCCTGAAACAGGTTGTTCTTCGGCGACAATTGTCTATAACACAAAATTCCAATCGACTGGTGGGTTTCTGTTGCTCAATTTCTGCCACTCAGTCACAGTACAGCCTGTCATTTTGTAGACGGAGTCAACTTCATTGGGGAAACCGTAGACATTTATCAACGGATTTTTACCAAAAACCTACCACCTCGAAGCCCCGGCTGGCGGTTCTAGTGCCAGAGTTGCCAGCATCAACGGCGCAGCTGATGACGATCAACGGGCTTCTCTGCACCCTGGTCGTAAAGGCTACATATAACCCCACCAACGCCAATAGGTCACTGCTACGATATAATTGGAACAAGATCATTCGTGGAAGGAAACAGTTTACGACAAGGTGCATAGCTATCATGCTCGATTCAAATGTTCAGTGAGGTCAGAACTACATACAACAAAAGAGGCATCCATAATACACCAAAGCGATTCCAATCAATACATGATTCCACGAAAAACAAACCCAATGGAAACAGGATATCAGGGTTCCAAACAAAATCAAGTCGCTACATGTCATTCATGAAGACAAACCATTAACTCATAAGGGAAAAAAAGACGATGGATATCACATTCAAAGTCCGGCGAACCGAGCCCATCCTGCAGCCCGATTTTGCGAAGAGCTCGGAATCCTGTTGTGGCTTTCGTTCTGGTTGTGGGCAGGTTGCTCATCGAGAACTTTTTCACTGCGCCCTTCTTCGGCGACCTTGCCGCTCACATCGCGGCGGCGTCCAACACCTAGACCGGCGATATAACTTCCATATGAGGATAAGGATGCACCAACTCCGTCTGCATTGCCAGGCCGAGCGGCGTCGGCACCGGTGTTGCTCACGACACGGCCCTTGCGGTCGCTTTCGGCGGCACGAGGCGAAATAGGCATCCTGGTTGAGAGGTATTTATTTTCTTCGTCGTTGTCGTTGTCGTTCTTCTTGAGAGCCTCATAAGCTGACATCTTGCTGCTGCGTTTCTTTGTAAGCTTGGTAGGCTTGCGGACAATCTGTTCGCTTGGCTCGCGAGATACAGCCAATCCAGGCTTGCCATCTACATCCAGATCGCCATAGAATCGGGTCTTGGGCGAAGTGGGCTTGGGGCTCTCGTGTGAAACCGAAACCGGCTGTGCCTGTGCATTATATGATAGATTGGGGCTATCACCTAAGATAACGTGCTGCGCGGGGTCGTTGTTCTCGGGCTTTTCTATCGGAAAAGGCTGCGGGGTGGGTGGGTTAAGCATGAGCGGATTGAATGGGATGTAACCATCACGTTCGTCATCGAAGTCGTCTCTGTGATCTTCTGGATCTGGGAACATATCCATGCGCTGATCGCCCACATCTTGTTCACGGCGGCCATCATCAAGGCCATAGAATTCATGCATGGCGAGCGACGTATATTCACCGCGCACATCTTCCGGGATAGCGCTTCCAATCCTTGGCTCCGGCTTGTAGCCATAAACAAACCAGTCTCGGATGCCACTACTAGTGGTCGGGCTGGTCTTGTAGGTGTTTTGGCTGTAGACAGAGGAAGAGTGACGAAGAGCAGCTGGACTCTCGTCCTGTGTCTCACCCATTGGCGATATAGACCGCTCAGAGTATGCCACCCAATTGTCGGAAAACGGGCTGACGGTTTCCGATCGATCGGCAGTACGTGATGACAGACGACGCATTTGAGCAGTGGCATCGATGATTTCGGGGGCGTGGGAGGCAACTTTTCGATATTCCGGGGCAGCTGTCTGTGAAGTGAAGTCATAGGGCTGGCTTGCGGTTTGTTGGAATAGTGTCTCCGGGCTGGAGGGATCCATGCAAGGTACTGTTGGAGATTCCAAGTGGGATAGGCGGTCTTGATAAACGGAAGGATGTGACTGCGGCTGCTCTTCAAGCATACCCATTGACTCACTGTTCGAATTACCACCGGAAGACTGCTCTCGTGTGTGCATGAAAGGCACGCTGCGAGGGGATCCAATGAGCGGATCCTCAAAATTGGAATCCACGGTAAAATGGCTGAGATGTTTCTCCTCTATTTGAGTCTCCTGATGGCTCTTACGGGGACGTGCGGTCAAATTGTCTTCAAGCGGATTCATATCAGGCGGCAGGCGGGAGATTTTCCGGAATGTGACAGCCAAGAATACCGATATGGCGAGGGAGACGAGGTGCAACGCGCCATTTGCGACAGCCAGTACGAAGGTGGCCTCGGACAGTTTGAAAGTCAAGTCCCTCTCGTTGAAGAGTGTTCTCCAATGGTATACGTTGGAATTCCATTCGCCATACGCCATAAACGCAGTAAACACGCAGAATGGGATGAGTCCCAAGTCGAGTATCGCAGCGAATAGTCCATAGCTCGCTTGAGAACCTGCAGGGCGGTTAAGAACAGATCGTGAATGATGGTAGATGGCATATGTCGTGTGGAGAACCGCAACTATGGGCTACAACAGGTCAGTAAGAGGAAGTTTCTTTCGGTGTACTGTACTCACGCCGGCGCGAATGATCCAGATGACAGCCACTGCAGCTCCCTTTATAACGACAGAGCAGAACAGGGACCCGAGAGCCCCCAAAAGAGTGAGGAAACGAAGTGCAAGCTGAGTTAATCGTGCATACTTGACCCGATTCTTTGTTTTGTGGCTCATCGGTGTAAACGAGCTGACCGTGTTGAAGAAACCCCACTACATCTGCCATTAGCAGAATCCACTATAAGTTTGCAAAAGATCGCACACACCGTGTCAGGATGGCGGTTCAAATTCACTAGCGGTTCTTCTTTCGTGGAATTGCATGCTGGACGAGTCCAGCTCGCCTCTGTCGCGGCCCTTGGGTTAAAGCCGCGGTCGGTCGGACCTTTAAAGCTGTAGGCAGACGGACGCTCATAAAGGAATGGTGGTGACGATCTCCCCATGGTCGCGACTAAAGGCCACTCGTGGCACCCACGCGAAGCAAAGAGAATGTTGACGATGAACCTTGGGAATGTGGAATGCGACCGTTAGCTCTGGGATGTGCCAGGTCTGAGGATGTTGTACATCTGCAAACATGTGATAGTCACCCCGGGCAACCGATAAGGTCATGTGATATTTTCCTAATCTCAGATCGTCTCGGCGATTTCTGGAATTCATGCACCATGCGTGTAAAGCAGGCCTTCGTAGGTGCTCAATGCACTGTGCAGCTCAATTGTCGGCCTCTTCTACAGTATCGGGAGATTTTTTCTCAATTTACATCCCAACGCTTCAACAGTCATGTTGCTCAAACCGATCGACGCGTCCGTGTGGCCATCGTGGGCTCCGGCCCAGCGGGATTCTATGCAGCCTATCGTCTTTTGACTAAACAGAAAGATGCAATAGTTGATATGTATGAGAAGCTACCTGTGCCATTCGGCTTGGCTAGGTACGGTGTTGCCCCGGACCATCCCGAAGTCAAGGTGAGTCACAGTAAACCGTGATTCAGTGATGAGTCGTTGAGCATTATATGTAGACATAAGCTCATGGTTCTATGGAAACTAGAATTGTGAAGATAAGTTCACAGAGGTGGCTAAGTCCACGCGCTTCAATTTTGTCGGTAATATCGACCTCGGACATGATCTCCCGCTCGCTGCCCTCAAACCACACTACGATGCCATCATATTCGCCTACGGTGCCACCAAAGATAAGGAACTGGGGATCCCCGGAGAAGAAGCTCTGCATAACGTGCACTCAGCCCGTGCCTTTGTGGGGTGGTACAATGGTCTTCCAGAGCACAGAGATCTCGATCCAGACCTAAGCGGAGAGAACGCCGTTATTGTGGGACAAGGCAACGTTGCACTAGACGTTGCCCGGATTCTTCTTTCAGATGTCGCTACCCTCCAAAAGACGGACATCGCAGATTACGCTGTGGAAAAACTCTCCAAAAGTCGCATCAAGCGAGTACGAGTTGTTGGGCGCCGCGGACCCTTACAGGTGAGATGTCATGAATCCACTGTTGATAATCGCGTCGCTAACTACCTACATTAGGCTTCATTTACTATCAAAGAGCTCCGTGAAATGCTACAGCTACCAGGTGTATCCTTTGATCCCATTCCAGAAGATATCTTTCCGCCGGAAGAAGTGGTGTCGGCACTGCCCCGAGCGCAGAAGCGTCTAATGCAACTCTTGGCTAAAGGATCAGCCAATGATCCTCTGACAGCCCCAAAGTCTTGGTCTCTGGATTTCTTACTTGCGCCCGATTCTCTTCACTGGTCGCCTGATTACCCATACCATCTTTCCCATGTAAAGTTCTCTCGCAACGAGCTCGACCCATCCGACCCCCACAGCCCCAGCACCAAGGTGTTTCCAAAGCACTTATCGAGCGGAAAGCGTGCACAGGTCAATCTTCCAACTAGCATCTTCTTCCGCAGTGTGGGCTACAAATCCCTCCCTCTTCCAGGGCTAGAAGATCTTGGTATCGACTTCGATACGCGACGCGGTATCATCCCTAATGATGGATTTGGCCGCATAATAAGCTTTTCTAGCAAGGGCGAGCCTGAAAGTTTACCTGGTGGTTCTCTTATCTCCTACCTACCCGGTCTGTACTGTGCTGGCTGGGTGAAGCGAGGCCCGACGGGTGTAATTGCTTCGACGATGACCGATGCATTCACTACTGCAGACACCATTGTGCAAGATCTGACAAAACGTGCCGACTCAACGTCCTTGCTTCATGCACCCGATCACAGTAGCGGTCTAGGCTGGGACGGAGTGAAAATCGAGGCCCAGCGCCGTGGTCTACGTCCCACGTCGTGGAAAGACTGGCAGCGAATCGACGCAGCAGAGCGAGAGGGTGGCCAGCTCAGGGGCAAGCCTCGAGATAAATTTGGGCGTGTAGAAGAAATGTTGAGGGTGCTTGATTGAACCTTTATGTATATAAATGAACTATCTGCATACATAGTTTGACAAATCTAATCACAAACTCGGCCCAACACTCTCATCTCAGTTCACACATTATCCAGGCACTTTCATGTCATCCTGTTTCTTCGTTATTACATCCCATTCATCTTGTCTACCCCTCACAGCCCGCACGCGCTGGGTTCCACTTCAACGTAAGTGGCGTCAACACGACCGAGCTGCTCCGCCAGACCGTTGGTCAATGCGTTCATGGCTTGCAAGCCAATGTTGAAGCCACCCGGAGCGGCGTCGACAGCTATGACGTTGATTGTCTTGTCAATCTTGCCGTTCGAGTAGTGCAACGCGTAGCATTTGCCGCAGTTAGGGCTGTTCCAGCCTGCGATGGTGATCGCACCGCCAATGTTTGGGAAGCTTGGCAGCGATGCGAAGTCGGTGTAGCCTCGACTGACCAGGCCATTGACGCCGTCGGAGCAAGCGACGGTGTTCAGGGAGGATGTTCCAACATCATAACTTGCGTCGTAGGAGACGGATACTGTTTCCGCCGCTGCCAGGGCTGGAGCCGGAGCCGGAGCCGGAGCCGGAGCAGCAGCAACAAGGCTGAGGGTTGCCAGGAAGGCAGAGGTGAAGGTGATGGAGGATTTCATGTTGGAGGATTTAAGTGGTTCTTCGAGGTGGAGTAGAATGGGTTAGATTCTTGATGTCTTTCCGTTCCCCCTCTGCGGCGAGGTTTATATATCTCTCCATCCTTCAGGCCTCCCATCCAAGATTTATCTCTTTGCTGGCAGGCTGCACCCGGTGCAGGTCTTGGAAGAAGGTCTAAGACTCACAGGTGACACAGCCCAAATAGGATGCCTTACGCCTAGGTCCATGATCAGCCGATACTCCCGTCATGAGGAGCCCCCAGAAACCGGTGCAATAAGGCCGAGGACGATTGTGGGGTTTACGAGGAAACACGCAGGTAGACTGAGACATGGCGTGCCTTGGCTGCTATTTTCATCCGATCTGCAAAAGCACTGCACAGTCGATCCACATACAGCTCACACGAGACTCTTTCTATGCTACTGTATAGGGCGACTGCATTCGAGGTTACATCACGCAACACGGATAGAATGCCATGGCCACATTTTATCATCATCTGAGTTTGAAACCTTTTTTTTTTAGAAAAAAAATTTAAATCTATGCTCTGAATTCTTTACAGAAATAACCAAAAAGAAACGAGAGAAGGAATTGGGTGTTGGCAAGCAGACAAGGAAAAAAAAAATAAAAAATAAAAAAAATAAAACCAAAAAAGAACCGTCCCCGGGAAGGCTTGAACTTCCAACCTCCCGATTAACAGTCGGACGCGCTAACCAATTGCGCCACGGAGACTTGCTGTGGTGGAGTTTGATAGGGAAAAAAGCTATGATGTAATTTCAGCTAAGGCTGAAATTGCTAAACAACGTATTCGGTAAGCGAGCTGGCCACCCTACCCAAGCTACTAATTTCAAATACATATAACTCAACCAAAACTCCATTAAATTAAATACAATTAAATGATCTATTCTCTGGATATGTATTTCTTCTATGACCCTGATTTTTATATAGCCCGTATGTTGGTAATGCTCTCGTTCGGGGCTATAAAGGCGACGAAGGCCTTCTCTGCCGGCGGGGGGGGGGAGGCGCTTAAACCGCTTTAACCGGCTCAGTAATCAATTAAGAAGCTTTAAGAACTGAGAAGCCTTCTTCAGTAGGTATCTGCCTCCTGGATCTAGTACGCTTTTGCTTCTGCTTCTCGTCAGCGGCGCGTAAATCCTTGTTTTCTTTGGCGAGTAAGATGGCACCTTATATTGTAAGACGGAAGCCTTTTATAAGCTAGTTTAATGCACGGTCTGATAGGATATGCGGGCTTCGAGATATTATACGAAGTAAAGCTTTGATTGATGAAGCTTAACGACGTAGTTCTTTCTCCGTGAAGGGGGT